CTTGTCATTGTTGTACCTCTAACCTATTGCAATACCCCTATTGCAATAGTCTTAAAGAAAGTCTTCTTATCATGTTGACATGTGACAAAATACTTTTTAGTTAATATCAAATGATCATGGACAATTTACAAACTTGCCCATCCCTTCAAACATCAGTGCCCTTTTTTCTTCCTTCCTACATTCTTTTCTTCTTTCTCAACACTTCTATCTTTATTTCTTCAGTTAGGCTATTCCAGGCCTAGGCTCAACTCTGCCAAGGATCTTAATTACTGGAAAGATGGGCTAATTCCTGTCTGGATCTGGCATGTAGCCTCCTTTGCAGCAGATTCTGAGTTCTCTCTCTGTGATTGTCAGAGTGAATGTCTCAGCAACTGTCTCCCGTCTTCTGTTGGAGGATGCGATAATCACAATTACCGTCAACAAAAAAAAAATAAATAAATAAAAATAAAAAAATAAATAAATAAAAAGATAATATATGTAAAACTGCTTTGTGTAAAGCAAAACATTATACCAATATATTTTTAAAACAAAAGAAAAATAGGGATTGATGAAGTGTTGAAATTATCGACGTACTCCAACTAAATCTTTAAAAGAGGAAATTATATGCCTGGACACAGCAGTAGTAGCCTGATTAGGCAGGGTCAGCTGCTGCAGCTGTGAGCAATTTACCCCCATGATTCTTTGGTTTCTCGCTCCCTCCGTTTAAGGATAAGAAAGCTGGAGAACAGCAAAAGCAGCTGAGGGGTCATCACAATTGCAGCAGTTACACAAAACCTCAAGATACCTGGTCACTGTTGAAGAAAGGAAATCATATATTTTAAGGACTCACAATTTATATAGTTGCAATAGCTGCCAGACTATGTGAGCTGATACAATAAATTGAGAATACTTTTTCTGGTCGAGGTGGGATTCCAGTTAGCCTCCAATCTTTTTTAGGGTTGAAGAGCCAGATTACCTTGATTTGAGACTTGAATCTACCATTTATGAGCTCTTGTCTTCTGCAAGTTACTTAACCTCCTCTCAGAAAATGAGAATAATTATGAACCCTAACTCGTGGAGTCACTGAAAGGAATAACTGAGTCAATGAGTAGAGTGATTAGAATAGGGACTGGCACAGAATGGAGGCTCCATAAATTTTAACTATAGCCCAGAGTTGATCAGATCTTATGTAATAGCTGGCACATGAGGGCCATAGGAGGTAGAAGCTGTGCTAAAAGCTTTTGCCAACTGCTATCATTTCAGTCTCTAACAGTGCAGGAAAGTGACCATGCAGCCCAGATAAAGGAGGGTCTGTTCCAGATATTGGCCTAGGGTTACCAGGAACTTGACTTTTGAAAGCTTCCCTAAGTTACTGATAGGGCAGAGTTGCCCACCTGGAGTGCTGAATTCTGCCTAGACGGTTTGTATAAACTGATTTATGGGGACACATGCTTTCCTTCTGGAAAGCAGGCCATTATGCCTGGCCAAGTAGATCCCTCACCCAAACTGCCCAATAAAATCCTTGCACTCTGAGTCTCAAGAGGGATTCCCTGGACAGAGATGTCGTACATGCTTTACAGCGGGTCTCTGCGGAGGAAAGAGCCAGGTCTGTGTGCTCTCGGGTGGGGGGGAGAACAGGATGCCTGCCCTGGATTTATCTAGATTACACCTGATGTATCTTTTTCTCTTGCAGATCCTTCTCTGTGTCCTTTCATTATAAGAACTCTTAGCCATGAGACCAATGCTATGTTGAGTCCCCCCCCCTTTTTTTTTGGTGGGACCCTCGCTGGCGGCTGGGGAACGAACCGGCGCTGCAGAGGCTATGGGCAGCCTCGCAGCCCAGCGCTCAACCGCTGCGCCACCAGGGGAGGCCCTATGTTGAGTCCCTTTTGCACATATGGGTGGCCATAGGATCTCAAAAGAAAAAATCTCAGAGGTATAAAATGTGGCCCTAATGTCATAAATTTAAAAACCTGAAGATTGGGAGCACTGTGATGTTGACAGTAAGTGAAAGAGCTAAATCCTGTTTGTCTCCCCTGCAAACAGCTGCACCCAGCTATAGATACATCTACCAAGAAAACTTTTCAAGGTGCAAACACCTAGTAGCTACTAGTTAACGTTGCAAGTGTTAGGGGGAAATGATGTCCTGAGTTAATCCCATACAGGCTTTGTGGACCCCACCCCCACTCCAGACTAAAGCCATCAAGACATTGGGAAAGACAAATCCCATCACCACCAAAGGGAAGGTGGCTGGGACCTGAGGGTGGAGTTGGGCAGCCAGGTTGGATATAAAAACCTTTCACGTGTGCCTGCAGTAGAGCATTGATAAGTCCTTTTAAGCGCGCGGGTGAGGACCCACAGTCAGGCACCCCGTTTTGTATCGGGGTTGCTCTACAACACAAGCAGAGGAAAATATCTTTAAGACATTAAATTTTGGATTTCCTCACTGTAAAATTGTTATAATAATACCAATACCATAGAATTGCCATGAGGATTAATGTGATTAGAGATATAATCTATAATTCATGTATGTGAAGTATGTGTGGATTAAATATGCAACCTATTAAAATCTATAAAACATTTAGTCCCATCCATGAAAAAGCGATATTTATGTACTTGGTCATCACATAACGTTTATATAAATATGTACATTTAAGTATACACTTGGATGTGTGCAAGTATATTACTTATCTAATAAGCCCTGTCCTGATTATAGAGCATCATTTACTGTTCACAATGATGTTAGTGAGGATGTCTTAAGTTAGTTGGTTTCCATTTTGGGAATCACCTTTGTCCAGAAACCTGCATGAAGCCTGTGAGCTGACTTTCTTAAATGTTAAAACTAGGAAATTAATATGTGGGCAATTTGGAGCTTTGCTGGAGACACTAACTGGTATTTATCATCAGCTCTAATATGCACACGCATATGGCCACATTGGCATCACTCAAGTTCAGAACCTGTGATGTAGCAATGAGCTGCTGTGCTGGGCAACTGGGGCACCTTTGGTTTCCCCACTTTTTTTTTTTAAGATTTTTTTTTTTACTTATGCATGCATGCAAGAACTGGGGTGTAACCAGAGGTGCAGGGGGTGAAAGGATTCAGCAGAGACAGAGTGGGCAGCAGAACAGGTGGATCTACTGAAATACACTGCTGAGGGGAGCAGTGGGCGAGACAGGAGAGGTCTGCTGCGCCATGTAGGTCAGCTCCCTGGCCGGGGATTGAACTCATGCTATAGTGGCTGGAGATAGCGTCATAATGCTGAGACTTTAACCCCTGCAACCACTAGGGAGGCCCAGTCTCCCCACGTCTACATAGAGAATATTCAGTCCTCCCCAAACCATGGAAAGTACACTTCAGCAGCTGAGATTTGCTACCAATAATCCCTGTTTTATCCTTTACAATGTGCTTTATGGCATTTATGTTTATAGCACTACAAAATTACACTGTAATTGAAGTATAATTACTCACTCTTTGGAAATCATTTGGAAACAATTCATGGCAGCCTCAGCCTTCTCTCTAAGCTGACATGCATAGTAGATCATAATTTGAGACTAGTTTTTTTCTAGAACTCGGTATTGCCTGACTTTCTGTCTGGAGCAAAGAAGACACAACTAATTCTAATTAACCATACACAATATTTATTGATATGCAAAGTCCCAGCCACTCCACCCAGCTCTGACTCTAATCAGCAGCAATAGCCATTCAGACATACTACCTGGGTGACTTCGGACAAATCATTTAACCTACTGGTGCCTGTTTCTTTACCTGTAAAATGGAAATGATAAGAATACCTGCCTTACAGTGAACAATACTATATCATACACTCAGACATTTGTTAAGAAAGTTGATCTTGTATTATGTGCTCTTCCCACAATAAAATAAAATTTAACAAAAAACATCTGCCTTAAAGGTTTAATAAATTATTTGAAAATGATTAGAACAGCATCTGGGACATACTATAAAACAAATAAATGAAACATGCTTTTCATCTTCTACTGTTTCCTCAATTGCTCCTGAATCCATTTATTAGTCCCAACAAGACACAAAGCTGTTTAAGCCCATGGACCCCAGTGACACTCTGCTTTTTTATCCACCTTCTCAGCCTCAGAACTGGACCCAGCAGGAGACATATTAAGTCATTATAGTCACATCACATTGGAGAAAACACCCAGAAAATACTGAACGGCTTTAATGCCACTTTCACAAAAGCTTCGAGATTGGAGGTACTGACCCCAGCACACAGTAACAGTTTTAATGTAGCAAATCAACATACACATGAATAAGCCCATGTTTATACAATATATCCCTAACTGAAGTAATATTTTGCAAAATATGCTCTAATATGTGCCATTTCCCCCTACCACTTACACACATCCACCTTGGCCACGGTCACAGTGTGCCATGAGCCAGACTTCCAAAGCGGGGGCACTACTGGGAACTAGGAGCTAAGCTTAACAGTCAGGTAAAACTATAGAACACGGAACATGTAGGCTCAGGGGCTCTTGCTTCTCTGGCTTTGACTTGTACCCATGGATTAGGAAGGAGACACTTGAAAGACACACGTTGGTGAGAGACACAATGGCAGCAGTTGTCCTGACTTCAGAGTGGATTATTTGGTACATTTTGAATTCTGAATCTCTCCTTTTACCCCAACAGTCTGATGTACCTAAGATCCTTTTGTGGGTCCCTGCCAGAAGGCGTCTTTGACTTGTGGCAAGCTTTGGAGTCTCAGTGGATCTGCTTCTGGCCAACTCTGCGTGGCTGGGCATTTGCCCATGAGGAGTTAGGTAATTTGGGGGATTTTGTTGGAAAATTGTTACTAGAAATAGCCTTTTTTCTTTCTCAATGCATGCCAATTCTATTAAAGATCTTTCACAGTAGGAATCAGCTTCCTTTGTCTTTGTGCTCATGGATGGCTGGATCCCTTCGGAGCGTGTACCCTTTAATAGTTTAGGGTCCCTGGGTGCCCTCTGTCATGCAGCCAGTTTGCTATGGCAGCAAAAGCTGGCCATGCACTCACCATGCTGGATGATGCCATGCTCCATAAGCCGCTGGCACAGCTGCTCTGCCTCTTTCCTTGTGGTAGCCTCACCCTCCTGGACCAGCCAATCCAGGAACTCAGATGCCATGAATGTGCGCTCATATTTGACACCTTCCTCTTCCCTGGGTTGCAGGAGTGTGCTTTCAGGGCTCATCAGCCTGGAAGAAAGGGAGAAAAAATAAACAAAAGGGAAACAGCTCAGTTGAAACCCTACATCACAGGCTTCTGTGAAGGATCACAGAGAAGTTGCTAGACAGATGTGGCAGCCATGGCTGCCACAAACATAATTTCTGAGAGGCACCTGCTTCAGAAGTGAGCATTATAGGGTCTCCCTGGTGGTGCAGGGATCTCAGCGCTATCAAGCTATCTCCAGCCGCTGCTACATGAGTTTGATCCCCAGCCAGGGAGCTGACCCACATGGTGCAGCAGACCTCTCCTATATCCCCTCAGCAGGGTATTTCAGTAGATCCACCTGTTTTTCTCCCCACTCTGTCTCTGGTGAATCTTCTAACCCCCCATACCTCTGGCCTATACCCTAGTTCTTATATGCATAAATTAAAAAAAAAACTAAAAAAAAAAGAAGTGAGCATTATACAATTTCTTCTGGTAATTAGAAAGAAACTGGAAATGCAATCCAACACTACAGTGATCGCGGACAGCAGTCCATTTAGCCCTCTTGAATAGGAGTTGCAATTTCCTGACCAAGCTCCACCCTATCTTTTAAAAAAGCTAGGATTTTATTCCTGAAGCCATTATTCCATTTTCCAATCAATTGGTAAGGGCTGCAAGTCCTCATATTGAAGTGCCAATCCCAAACATGGTGGTATTTGAAAATAAATTAATCAGATTATGTGGGTGGAGTCCCCCAAATGAGATTACAGCCTTTTAAGAACAACAAAAGAATTGACCAGAAAACTTGCTTCCTCCTTGTTTCTCTGTGATGAAAGAGTAGGAAGAGTCTGCAAAGCAAGTGATTTTTCTCTCACAGATACCAGGTCTACCCTTGCCTGGGTCCTGAACTTTCCAGGGTCCAGACAGTAAAGAATAACTGTTTATTGTTTAAATCATCCAGCCTATGGTATTTTTAAAGCAATTTGACTAGGACAACTATTTAAGTCATTCCTTTTACAATTCCCCTACCTTCATGTGTCTTGTTTCTCACACCACCATCCCAAGCATTCCTCAGTTAATTAATTCTTTGGGCTTCTAGCCTCACCATGCTTCTGAAATAGCTTCCACTAGGGCCATAAATGTTCTCCTACATAGCTACATATGACAGGCAATTGGCAAGTCCTCATTTTAGGCGACATTAATAGCATGTGATGTTAGTGGCCACCTCTCTGAACTAGAGGAACATCATCCTGCACTGGTTTCCCTCTGTCCGTCTGTTGTTCTCTTTCTCAGTTACCTTTGTGCTGGAATTTCATCTTCCTCATTTCCCTGGACTTAAAAATACTGGAACCCCTTGAGATGCAAGGGGTTATTATCAATTTTTTGGTACTGTTTTTGTGATTGTCAGATTAAAGACTACCTCCCCTATTCAATTATAAGCTCCAATATTACAGTTTCAAGTTGTCCATAAGGCTTTTTTTTAGTGAAAAACAGATCCTCCTAAAATGTCACGATCATTGTATCATCTCTTCTTTAAAAGTATTCTGGATACTTATCTTCTACATGAAGTTTATTTCTCTCTTTTAAAAACCTTCTATTTCTAGAAGAAGACACAAAGAAATGGAAAGACATCCCCTGCTCATGGATTGGAAGAATAAACATTATTAAAATGGCCATCCTACCAAAAGCAATCTACAGATTCAATGCTATTCCAATCAAAATTTCAATGTCATTCTTCAAAGAAATAGAACAATTATTGATGAAATTCATATGGAATCACAAAAACCCCGAATAGCCAAAGCTCTCCTGAAAAAAAAAGAAGGGAATGGAGGTATCACACTCCCAGACTTCAAACTCTACTACAAAGCCATAATCATCAAAACTGCATGGTATTGGAACAAGAACAGACACACAGACCAATGGAATCGAATAGAAAATCCAGAAATAAACCCACAGATTTATGGTCAACTAATCTTGACAAAGGAGCAAAGACTATGCATTGGAGCAAAGAAAGTTTGTTCAATAAATGGTGCTGGGAAAACTGGGTTGCTACATGCAAAAGAATGAAGCTTGACCACTACCTCACACCATACACAAAAATCAACTCAAAATGGATTAAAGAACTAGACATAAGAATACATAGAAGGAAATATAGGCGAAACACTACGTGATTTGCACATCAAAGACATCTTTACAGACACATCACCCAAAGCAGTGATAGTGAAGGCAAAGATAAACAGCTGGACTACATCAAATTAAAGAGCTTCTGTACAGCAAAAGAGACAATAACAAAAACAAAGAGAAACCCCACCAACTGGGAGAACATTTTTGCACACAACACTAATGATAAAGGACTGATCACAAAAATCTGCAAAGAGCTGATGAGACTCAACAACAACAAAGAAAATAATCCAGTCAAAAAATGGGCAGAAGAGCTAAAAAGAAACTTCTCTGAAGAGGAAATGCAAATGGCCAACAGGCATATGAAAAAATGTTCAACATCACTTGTAATCAGGGAAATGCAAATCAAAACTACCATGAGATGAATCTTACACCACTGAGAATGGCACATATTAAAAAAACTAGCAACAACAAGTGTTGGCGAGGGTGTGGAGAAAAAGGAACTCTTCTGCACTGTTGGTGGGAGTGCAAACTGGTCCAACCACTATGGAGAGCTGTGTGGAGATTTCTGGACCTACTAAACATAGAGCTTCCATAGGATCCAGCAATTCCACTCCTAGGTATTTACCCAAAGGACACAGAAACATCCATTCCAAAGAACACCTGCACCCCTATGTTTATAGCAGCACTATTTACAATAGCTAAGCTTTGGAAACAGCCCAAATGCCCCAAAATAGATGACTGGATCAAGAAGATGTGGTCCATATATACCATGGAATATTACTCAGCATTCAAAAAAGATAAATACATGCAATTTGCAGCAACATGGATGGCGCTGGAAGGGTTCATGCTCAGCGAAATAAGCCAAAAAGAAAAAGAAAAATACCGGATGGTCTCACTCATAGCAGGAATCTAGAAAACTTAAATAAGGGACCAGAAAAATGAATAACTATAAGAAAGCGAAAATCAAGATCAACAAAAAACCATGAACCAGAGACACTTTTTGGGGGTGAAGGGCGGGAGGGGAGGGATTGGGGTCAGAATGGGGGGGTTGCAATTGTATGGGGAATATAAAAATAAAATTTATTATTTAAAAAAAAATAAAAAAAAAAAAAAACCTTCTATTTCTTCTCAAACAACCATATACAATCCAAATTGTACTATGTCACTTCTAGAGCAGGAAGAACCTTAGGGCTCATAGCAATTCAACATCTCCTTCATTCCTATGAAAATTCTCATCCAAATAAGAATAAATAAATTACAACACTGAATACTTTGGGAAGGAGGCTAGCTCGAGGTCAAGCAAATGCTAATAAGCACTTTACACATGTTTATAAGTCATTTCATGTGGGGTAACTAAACCTGTGTCCTTGAATGTCCATTCATATGATTTCATTTCAATGCTTTTAGTCTTAGAGACCCATCCTGCTGTGGAAGAACATGGGGGTAGGGACCCTGGAGACTATGTCTATTTAGACAAGTCACTTGTCCTCTTTCTAGCCCCCCTTTTCTCCATTATAATTATAGCTTCACCCAGCTGGTTGAGGATCCTATGGGAGTATGGGTGAAACGGACTTTACCATAGAAAAGACAATGCATATACAATGTGCTACACTAAACTAATCACCAGCCTGCATCAGGGCAGGAGGAATGCGTATCTAATAGCTACAAACTGATGACTATGGAGACTCCTTTGAGCTCCCCTCACTCTCCCCAGCAGAATTCTCAGAGTCCTACTATTTGGAAGCCATGGAAGGGGCACAAGATTGGGAAGTAGGCAGACACAGCTCTGTCACAGACAAATCACATCATTTTTCACTGCTACATTGTCCCCAAACTCATGTCAAATAAGGAAGATTAATACCTACTCTATTTTCTTTACTGGATTGCTATTATCATCAAAAATTGTTAGGGGAGGGGCCTCCCTGGTGGCACAAGGGGTTAGGACGCAACCTATGAAGCTTCTGCTGCCTCTGTACCATGAGTTTGATCCCCATGGCCAGTCGGGGAGCAACCCACCTGGTGCAGCAGACCTCTCCTGACTCGCCCGCTGCTCCCCTCAGCAGTGTACTTCAGTCAATCTGCCTGTTCTGTTCCCCACTCTGTCTCTGGTGAATCCTCTCACCCCCACCCCCCCACACGTCTGGCCTGTACCCTAGCTCTTGTATGCATAAATAAATGAATCTTTAAACAAAAAATCATTAGGGGGAAAAAAAATGCATGAACATTCTAAGTAAATAAATGTATGCTTTTATATTAAAGGTACTTATAAAAGCTATTAGCAGATGAACAGAGCCACAAACAGCCTTCTTATTGTGCACACAGTAGAACTCATTTTTAAATCTCCTTTAGACTGCTCCCTAAGGCAGTCCTCTTCTGTACAAACAACTGCTTGGCTGCTTTTTCAGGATTAGTAACAGCTGAGTTGGAATGGACAATAAGAATTATATTTAATATAATAATGACCAGGGCCTTCCAGAATGTGGAAAGGACAACTGTCATATTTACAACAATACAGACATTCCTGACACTCTATAGATTACGAGCAGAGACTGGAGTCCAGATTCTAAGTCCCCTTCTTGCTTAGCAGCTTGTCTCTCAGGCTGTGGTGGGGACAAGTTGTTGGAAGCTACTTGTGTCATATCTTATAACCAGAAACATGACTTGCCAGCCCTCCAGAGCTCCTGCTAAGTAGCTGGGAGTTTTCTGGACAAGTGGCTAGTTCACTACTTCTGCCAGTGTGAACTTTAGAAAAGAGACCAGTTGGAAACCTGCCTGGATTTGGTTCAGCCTGCTATTTAAAACATGCCCCACACCCTGAGCTCTTCCTCACTTCATTTCCCCTTGAAATAACAATGTTCCCACCTAGGTGCCCTTCTTCAAAGACAAAGCCTTTTATGGGATTTGATCTTCATATTAATATGTA